CGCCGGTCGGGCAAGCGAGGAAGGCTGTTGGGAAGGTCGCTCTCTTCCAGCGTGGTCGACAGGCCACGCTGGAGCAGCCCGCGGGTTGTCTGCCTGGAAGGTGCTTGGACCGGGGGGAGGCTGCTTTTAGGGGCACTTGTCTTTCTGTTTCAGTCCCTGGTCTTGGTGTCTCACCTTCCCTACGTGAATCTCTTCCACTCTCTGCTGCACCTCATCGCACCTGAATACTTTGAGAAGCTCGATCCATGTCTGGAGGCAGGTGAGGCCTATTAGTTTGGTGCTCTGTGGGTTGTTTAGTTCACGCTTAGGGAAGAGAGCATTTAGGTCTAGGATTATAACACGTTTCGAACCCACCCAGCTGTCTGTGCACGGCCAGGAGCGGTTTTAGAGGGAATGTTGGAGGACTTGATGGGACTCTAGATCCATCATTCTTTCCGGAGTCCTCGACCTTAGTTGGGCTATGCTGAACTCCATTAGGACAGCAACTGAAATGAGGGAACAGCTGCAGCATTGGGGGTAGGTCCAAGTGCTGGAAGACGTGCACGCGCACACATTCTCACCCCAGTTACTTTGTGCTTCTTTCAGTGTGCAGTGAGATTGATCAGTGGCCGCCCCCTGTGCCTGGCCAAACGCTGAACCTCCCGGTGATGGGGGTTGTTATTCAGGTATGTGCCAGAGGTACTCCCTCCCAAGAGTTTCCAGGGAGAAGAAATGGGGAGTGCAGGTAACCATGGCCTCGTTCTGCAAGGATGCCCAAGTGCAGCTGCAGTTTCAGGGAGGGAAGCCCATTGGGTGCTCTGCTGTTTACCATGCAGGTGAGGATTCCTTCCCGGGTGGACAGGCCTGACTCCTGCCCCGTCAAGCCACTGATTCAGGAGGTGAGAGAAAGCTGCCTGGATTTGGGGAGGGGTTGTGCCAGCTAACAGCTGGGAGGGGCTTCTCTTTGCTGGCAGTGTAGGCGGGAGTCTTTCTGGAGGGCCCGTGAGCCCTCCTCGGAGCTCAGCCTGGCCCTGCTCCACCTTCTGGCCTTTGCCCTGAGCGCCTGCATTACAAACGCAGGGCTTGACGCTGTGCAGGGAAAAGCGAGCTGCGCTTGTAAGAGCTGAGCCTGCTGGGGCTGGGGGTGCCTCCTCGGCTTGCTTGCCTCGATGCCTTTGGAAAGTTGCTTGCCTTCCTGCTTGAAGTGCTGCACTCCACCGTGGACCCGTGGCTGATAAAGCCCTTTGGATCACCTCCCTGTGGGTTCCTGCGCTCTCTGGTGGGGGGCATTTTTCTTGTTTTAGTATTTTGGCCTCTAAGGAAATTGCATGTCCAGTGTCTAAATAGCCCATACACCCTGGTGTGCATGTCCTGTGGTGCAGCGAGCTCATTTTTGTTGGTGGGGAGGTTGACGTGTCCCTGTTCTTGCTTAAAAATAGCCACAGCAATGCCACCTATGGGAGGTCTCAGGCCACAGGGAGGGATCTGGAGGATGGCAGATAACCGCTTCCTCTCCACCCTGAACTGGGGTCTGGTTTTTCCAGACCAAATCTATTTCTGAATGCTGCATGGTCTTCTCTGTCCAGACCACCTGAAGAGGCCAGATTGGGCCCTTCCAGGTCAAGCCTTAAGCCTTTTCTTTCAAAGATCCTAGCCTGCTTCTCCTGCCAAAGTGTATGGGACAGAGGAGCTTTTTCATCTGGGCTGAGCCTCTGGGCACAAAGTCTTGCCTTTTCCCATTGACTTCCTTTCTGGCTGTTCTTCCTCACTCAGAACCTCCTGCCTGCTCCCCTCATCCTCCCCAGTGTTTCTGAACTGGACCTCTTCAGGTGAGTGCTCCACCTCCTTCTTGCAAAAGCATCTCCTGCCAGGTGGGGGGTGACGGTTCAGACAGTGAGGCAGCTGGCAAACAGGCCAGTATGGGGCAAAGCCTTGGCAATAAAAACGTGGGGCATCTCCTTCCCCAGAAGGTTTTTGGGAGGAGACTAGGAGGCACTCAAGGCTGGATTCACACCACATCCAGATTGTCAGAACGGTTCTCATGTTCCCATAACCTGTCCAAAAGCACAAGCTGTCTTATGGCAACCAGATGGGGTTGGGGGCTCCGTTGTTCGGCACAGTGCTGGAACCCTGTTTTGCTGTTGATTTAATATTTTTAGGGTTTTTTCTTTTTTTTGTCTTTTTTAGTTTTACACACTGCCCAGAGTCCACTGGAGTTGGGCAGCAAATGAATTTAAATAAATAAAACGCTCCTCTTCGAACGGGGCATCCACTGAGGCACGTTGGCCTCAGCCTTCCTGTTTGGAGATGTGGCTGTACGTGTGTTCAAACTGACTCCCAATCTCAGCTCATGTCAGACGTTGAGCCCAACAAACTGGACTCGCGGGAGATGCTAAGCCTTGGTTAAACAAAGCTCCTGTTGAGCACAGGCAGGTGCTTGTTCTTTAACTGGCTTGGCCAGGCATTTTGCCTGTCTGCATTCTGTTCACGTGTGTGCCATGTTCCCTTCTCTGGTCTTGGAGCAGGTGCTTCCAGTCGGTGCTGGTCCATATTCAGCTGCTGTGGGAGCTCATTCTGCTTGGGGAGCCCCTGGTTGTCGTGGCTCCATCCCCCGCCGTGTCCTCCGAGGTGGTCCTTGCCCTAGTCAGGTACCAGGCCTGCTACTAGCCACTGTTCTGCCCCCTATAAAGCTGCGGGTGGCTAATAGGGAGCCCTGGAGAGCGCGGCGTGTTGGCCAAAGGGCCCTCTCCGGGCAGCCATGCCTTCCCATAGCGCGGCACCACTCTCAGCTGCACTCGGACAGGAATTGTTTTCTCAACCCCCCCAGCTGCCTTGCGCCCTTGAAGTACTGCTGCGATTTCCGCCCCTACTTTACTATCCACGACAGCGAGTTCAAGGAGTACACAACGCGGACCCAGGCCCCGTGAGTTCCTCCGGCCAAGGATGCTGGTGGGGGCCCCAGGGAAGAAGTCCTCTCCCTCACCCCTCTGCTTGCTCCCTTCAGCCCCAGCGTGCTCTTGGGAGTCACAAATCCCTTCTTCATCAAGATGCTGCAGCACTGGCCCCACATCCTTCGCCTTGGGGACCTCCGGATGGCCGGTAATGCAGGGCGGGGGCACTTTCTGCTCAGCAGTGGAGGAGCTGGGATGAGGAGGGAGTGGGAGCCAGAATTGCATGTAACATCAGGATGCCAGGCAGCCTGAGGCTGGGGAAGGTTTGGCCCCCTGCTTCTACAGGGGGCAGCCCAGCCTTCTCCATGCCAGGTGGGCTGTTCCACTGCTGCGTGGGTGCTGGGCAGGTGTGATGGCGATGGCAGCCTGGCCTGGCGTTCCCATGTTTTAATACTCCCACACAGGGGACTTGCCCAAGCAGGTCAAATTGAAGAAACTTGCCAAGCTGAAAATACTGGACACCAAGCCAGGTGAGCAGATCCCACATCCTCAGCTGCTCCTGCAGAGGCCCTTCTGGGTGAGACCTGTGCGGGGGCCTCAGGAAGACACAGCCTGTTCTCCAGCTCACTTGGAGGGCGGGCCCCTTCTCTCTCTCTCTCCCCCCACCCATCCTCCTTGCTTCTTTTCTGCTTGGTTCTGGCCCCGCATCAGGACTTTACACGTCATACAAAATGTTCTTGCACAAGGACAAGACGCTGATCAAGAGGCTCTTAAAGGTGAGCCAGAGCTGAAGCTCTGAAACAGGCAGCTGGGCAGAAACAAAAGCTTCCGGGCCAGTGGGGGGGGTGTCTCTCCTGGCCCTTCTCCCTTCGCAAAGTTGCAGCTGAAAAATAAGTGGTGAGGGGGGCAGCTGGTGCTGTCCCTTCCCCAGCTGGCCTGCCAGAGGCACAGATGGGGGAACACCTGCTCCCCCTTCAGCAGAATTCTCTGGACCCAAGTCAGCCACCGGGCGCCTCTGGGCCAAAGCTGCTCGGAACTCCTGAGCCCCCCTTGTGGGCAGCTCAGCAGGAGCAAAGGCAGGGGGACCCCTGATCTGCCTCCTTGCCCTTGTGTCTGGTGGACCTGCTAGGATGAAGGCTGATGGCCCTCTTTCAGCAGAGCCTTCTCCCATCCAGGCCTGGAGGAGGCAAGACTTCTTCAGCTCAGTCCCTTTGCAGACGTCACCTCCTGCCCTGCAGCACCCGACCCTGAGGCCATTTCCTCCCTTCCCTGGCAGGCGGAGGCTGGCTGGCCGGCCTGAGGAGCAGGAGCAGCCATGGCAAGGCCCTGGGTGTCCTTGGCACCTCCTTTGCAGTGGGGTGCCTCACTTTTCAGGAGGGCAGAGCTGATGAATCCTGACTGACCTCTCTGCCGTGCTCCACAGGGCATCCGCAAGAAGCGCCCGTCTGAGGCCCAGAGTGCCCTGCTGAGACGCCAGCTCTTGGAGCTCACCCAGAGCTTCATAATCCCCCTGGTAAGTGGGGAGGAAGGGGGCTGGGCTGCAGCCCCACCAGGCAAGCCCCCTGGTCTGGAGAGAGACTAAGGCACTAGGAGGAGGCTACCTCCAGGCATTGAGAAGGAGCTGCTCAGGACCGCCTCTCAGATAGCCTCTCCCAGCAGGGGCTTGCTTGGCAGACGCCCGTGAGAAGAGCCCCCCCCCAACTTCCGTCCTGCTTCTTCGTTCCTAGGAGCACTACATGGCCAGCCTCATGCCTTTGCAGAGGACCATCACCCCGTGGAAGGTAGGGCCTTTCCAGGCTGCTCTGGCCTGCCCCTGCCCCTCCTGCTCTGCTGCCGCGGGACCCACAGAAGCCACTGGCCTGTCCTGGGGTCCCGGCCCCTGCCCTGGGAAGCTTCTCCCTGTGCTGGGGTGGGCCTCACTCTCTGGCTGCCCCAGCAGGAATGGCTTCTCAATCAATCAATCAATCTCTCTCTCCCCCTCCCCACCAGACTCCCCCTCAGATCCACCCTTTCCATCAGGAAGACTTCCTGAAGACCTTGGAACATGCTGGGCCCCAGCTCACCTGTATGCTCAAGGGGGATTGGCTGGGCCTTTACAGGTAGCCATATGCTAGATTCGCTGAGCTGAGCTGTTTGGCCACCCCACTTCAGACTAGGGGGTGGTCCCCATGTTTGAATCCTCTACATTTAAAAGTCCCACCTGTGGCCAGAAAGCAACACACCCTTCCCCAAAGACTGACCACTCAGTTTATTCCCACACAAACTGGGACGTTCCTGTCTTGCCTCCTTGGGACCTAAACCCACCTCCTCCTAGGATATTAAGATAGTTTACACAGGATGCTGAGCTTGCTGAATTAACCCATTTGCAGGATTTGTTTTTTAAACAAACGGACTGGGCTTGTGCAAGATAAGATCAAGACTGCCTTGAGTCAAATGTGCCGTGCACAACAAATTAACCAAGCTTAGCATGTTACCTAAGGTTGCATCTTGTTTAAAACTGGCCTAAGTGGGGTTCAGCCACCGAATCTTGCCCACCCCTGCCATAGCCAATGACCTCCATTGGAGATAGGGGAAATGCATGCTGGTGGGGGGAGACTAGTGGGGGGGCTACTTCCAATACAGCCTGCCCTTTTGGAGGCTGGCCCCCCTAAAATCTGGCAGGAGCTCAGAAGTCCTTTTCACAGGGAAGGGGGGAAACAGTTCCTCCTCACATTGCTTCCTTTGGAAGGACCCTAACTTGGAAGGACCCGCTCCTGATTCATATCCCAGGAAGGCCGTGCCGGTTGGGTCATTCCATGATGAGCCGCCAGAGGATTCGGTCACCCCCGTTATATCTGGCCAAGCCCATCCAGCGTGAGGCTTCCTGGGCGGCTCCTCTGGACTGGCACCAACGGCTGCTCTGGCATCCGCCCACCCTTCTGTCTCCCCCCACACCCAACAGGCGGTTCTTCAAGTCACCCAACTTCGATGGCTGGTTTCGTCAGAGGCACAGAGAGATGAGGCACAAGCTGGAAGCCCTGCGCTTGGAGGCTGTCAGTGAAGCGGTGGGTGGGAAGGCTGCTGGGGGAGCCCCTTTGAATTGATGGAGCCACCCTACAGGCCTCCTCAGTGGAGCCATTTCCGTGGACTGACAGGCAGTCTGTCACCTTGCTGTTAGGGCAAGGGCAGCCTGGCTGCTCTAGAGCATTGGGAGGGGAGTGGCCTCAGCATTTCCCTGCCCCCCTTCTGGGCTTCGGGGTTCGTGCTCAGTAGGCTCAGGGGTCCTCCAGCTCGTTGGCTCAAACTCCTCTCCATAGGAATCTGGGCCAGGGCGCTGCTGCTCTGGCACACCCAGAAAGACAGGGCAGTGAGGTGGCCTTCCTCTGATCCCTCCTTTTAGAACATCAGGGCCTGGATGATGGACAAATCTGAGGCAGAGGCCGTGGACATGGTGCTGAAGCTGCGTGAGAAGCTGGTAAGCTGGCTGTCCGTCTGCCTTACCCAGTTCCCCCCTTGCCAGATAGGGGTCAAGGCAGTCTGTCACATCTAAGCCACTCCCAGAACACATGGAACACAAACTAACCCCAATGCAGCCTTTGCGTGGAAAGCAACCAAGTGGGTATTCCCGTGAGGCAAGGGGCGGACCAGTACACGGGAAGCATTTTCTGTCAACCTTCAGCTTCGAGTGCCTGTTCAAAGGGTTCTTTCCCTGCGCTCATCTTGCCGGGATTGTAGACTCAGAGGAGGGGTCTGGTTGTATCCCCATGCAGGTGCAAGCCAGGAGCCAACACCTCCCTGTGAAGGAGGAGACGCTGCAGCGCGTGCATCAGCACATCACTGTTGTGGTCAGGTCGCTGCCGGAGGATCTCCAAGCCATTCTGTGTCACCAGTAAACACAGAATGGGGGGAGTTCAGGGGGTGAGACTTAGGAGGGAGGGGGCTTTCCCTCTGAGCTCTGTGGTGGCCCATTTGCACTGGTTAGGTGGGCTGTGAACGAAGAAGTTGCCTAGCCTGTATGGAACCAGAGCGGCACAGCTGGGGTGTGTGTTTGTGTGGGATGTGCAATGGTGGTGTATTCCCAAGAGAAATAATAAAGCTTAATTATCAGAAGGTCCCTCAACTGAGCTTCACTTGGAAATTTGTTACGCTTGTTAGCCCCCTACGGTTCAAAATTGTGTCCAGAATCAATCTGTTCAGGCAGAGGTGGGCAGCAGAAAACGGTCTTCTCTTCAAACCACCCTGGACAAGCCTGGTCATCAGCAAAGGGTTTCTGACTCTTCTTAGTTCACCCCCCTTAAGCTAAAAGGCTAATAGAATCTAAAGCCAAAGTGGATGCTTGTGTGAAATAACTGAACTCGCTTCTGACAGAAGGGGACTTTCCTTCTCCCCACGTCCAGCCCAATTTGGCACCTGACCCACTGGAAGGCCACAGCGCCTACCCGGAATAAACTCTGCAGAGTCTCCCCCTCCTGCATTTCAGTCTCTCAGCCAGGCCATGAGAGGTGGAAAAGGCTCCAGCATTTACTAGGAAGACTCAGGCTGTCCGCTGCCCCCCAGGGCCACCCAGAGGTAGGGAGGGAGCGGGGGCTTCCTCCGGGATGGAAGAGTCTTGGGACAAGGAGGGTTTCCACAGTGGTGCTCTCGCCCACCTCCACACCCTTTAGGAGACTTGGAGGCAGCAGGAGAATGAATAGCTCTCAACGTGGGGTGGGGAGGCTGAGGTTACGGAAGAACCAGGGCTTCTGGCCTTGCTGCATCCTGGCCTTGCTGCAGTGACAGCGAAAGAGCACCAGTGTCCTTGGCCTCGGGCTCTGGAGAGAAGGCCATCCGGCAGCGCTGCACTGAGCGTGCGCTCTGGGCCAGAACAGGCAGTGTTAGCCCCGAACGCCCAGTGGGTTCCTTGTCCGCCTCCCCTCCCACATGAGGGTCAAGCGGGGGCTGGGTTTGCTGCAGCCAAGCTGGTCCTGAGACTTCGCAGCGAACTGGAAGGCTTTGTAAGGCTGCCTGCGCGCCCCCCCCCCCCCCCATGAACAAGGGAGGCAGAGCGGCACAGCTTCCTGCGCGTTTTATTTAGCCAAACGCACACGTTGCTCGACTGCCTCTTGCGGCCCAGCTTGACCTGGAGACGCCTCCGCCACTAGCAGGGCCTGGCCAGGGAGTCCTCGTAGAAGGCCTTCATGCCCGGAGACCAGTGCAGGGGCAGCCGCTCGCTCGCCACCTCCTGGCGGAAGTTCCCCCGCAGCCAGCCATAGGCGAGGCTGTGCAGGAAGCCCTGGAGGGGGGCAGTCAGGGCCTGAGCAGGGGGGAGAAGCCGGCTGTGATTCTCCTCCGGGGCGGCCCTGCCACGCCAGCAGGCCCCCCAAGGAGGTCATCACTCACCGTAGCCACCAAGACAGGGAAAAGGGAGGAGAGCTGGAGGCTGGTGAATGACAGCAGCACGAGGAGGCAAGCTGCGGGCAAAGAGGTGGGCAGGTCACTGCCTCCGCTCAGCCTGCCGGGATCCGACGTGGCCAGCATCTTTCCTGCCCGTTTGTAATGCGGGTCGAGCGCTTCCTCGGCGCTGGTGGCAGGCAGGCAGGCCAGGCTGAGAACCCTGACCAGATAATGGACAAAAGGCCACTGACCTGGCATCCAGCAGAGCACAAGGACCAGCTGGAAGCGGCGGGTGACGTGGCTTCTGCTGGCGAGGCCATCGCTCCATGGCACGTAACGGTCCCGGCAGTGCCAGCTGTTCACCCTGCAGTACAGAACCTGTTGAGGGACAGCAGCAGTGTCAGGAAGACCACGTCCAAATCCTGGTCGGGAAGGGATGGGCACGCTTAGGCTGGCTAACGGACAGCGGAGCCTCTTGCCCCAGGAGCCCAACCCGAGCAGCAAAGGAAACAGCCCCGTCGGCAGGGAAGGCCAGCCGAGCCCCAGGGAAGCCTCTGGTGCTGCCGTGCAGCGAGGCTCTGGACCCTCTGCGGAGAAGGGATGGGGCAACAGGAGCCCTGGGCTGGAGAACAGGCAGCAGCCCCAGAGGCCCCACCGGCTCCTTCGGCCGTCCCTCTTCGGAAGTCAACATGCGAGTGACTGTCCGGCTGGCCCAAGGAAAGTCTCTGCCGCCGCGTTGGGCATCCCTGTCACCCTCTTCAGGCCTGGCAGACTCTGCGCCTCAGCTGGCCTCCCTTCTTGGCTGCCGC